GCCTCCCTAGTTTTAAAGTTTCATTATCCATCCGTCATTTTTCTGGCAATGGATTGATACAATGTTATGGCCCCTTGAAGGTGGGGCCTCCGACAGATCACACCCCAGGTTTTTTTGACGTTGGTGTTTCGCCTATTTTGGGGCCCAAAATTTTGTTTTGTACTTGATAAAGATTTAATTTCCCGTTTTTACCATATCGAGAAATTGAAATTTTTTCATCGTTGAACTTTATTGTTTTCTGCACCCCACTGAAAGATTTGGTTGATGTCCGCCTGGAGCCTTGCAGTTCTGCAATGGAAGACCTGTAAACCGTTTGGGGTGTCATCTAAAAAGGGGAAGACACGGTGCTGGGCTGACATCCTTGTCTGGTATTGGGATGAGGAACAAGAGGGAAAAGCGAGTAGGCCTTTGGAACGAGCTTTTCACCGAGCGCCTCGACTTTACTCTGTTTTACGACTACTCTCTGTGTTTGTTTTGTGAGGAAATTATAATCCACGCCCACTTTTCCCGTTTTTCCTTCAGCACGCATTTTGTGCGCTATTTCGCCATGGTCACACTTGTCGAAGGCTTTTGCAAAGTCTGTATATATTACGTCTGCATTCTTTTTGTCTTCTAGTGCATCTAGGACCTTGTCGTAATGATCCAATAGTTGAGACAGACAGGAGCGACCTGTTCTAAACCCATGTTGCCCTGGGTTGTGTAACTGATGGGTTTCTAGATGGGTGGTGATCTTGCTTCTTAGGACTCTTTCAAAGATTTTTATGATATGGGATGTTAGTGCTATCGGTCTGTAGTTCTTTGCTGTTGCTTTACTGCCCCCTTTGTGGAGTGGGGCTATGTCTGTTGTTTTTAGTAACTGTGGGACGACCCCGGTGTCCATGCTCCCTCTCCATAGGATGGAAAAGGCTCGTGATAGGGGCTTCTTGCAGTTCTTGATGAACACGGAGTTCCATGAGTCTGGCCCTGGGGCAGAGTGCATGGGCATGTCATTTATCGCCTGTTCGAAGTCATTTGGCGTCAGGATAACATCGGATAGGCTTGTGTTAACCAAATTCTGTGGCTCTCTCATAAAAAATTCATTTTGATCTTCGACTCTCAGTCTGGTTAGCGGCTTGCTAAAAACTGAGTCATATTGGGACTTGAGTAGCTCACTCATTTCCTTGCTGTCATCTGTGTAGGACCCATCTTGTTTAAGTAGGGGCCCAATACTGGACGTTGTTCTCGACTTTGATTTGGCATAGGAGAAGAAATACTTTGGGTTTCTTTCGATTTCATTTATGGCTTTTAGTTCTTCCCGCGATTCCTGACTCCTATAAGATTCCTTTAGCTTAAGTTCGATGCTTGCTATTTCTCTGACCAGTGTCTCTCTACGCATTTCAGATATATTGACCTCTTTTAGCCGCTCTGTTATTCTTTCCATCGCCTGTAAAGGGAGCGCCTGTCTCTTTCTATTTTACATCTACTCCTCCTTTTTCTTAGAGGAATAAGCCTTGTGCATACATCGAGTGCCACCAAGTTAATCTGTTCTAGGCATAAGTTGGGGTCTGTGTTGCTTAGTATATCTTCCCAGCTTATATCGGTTAGGACTTGGTTTACTTGGTCCCACTTTATGTTTTTGTTATTGAAGTTGAATTTGGTGAATGCTCCCTCGTGACTAATCTCATTATGTCGGTCTGGGGCTCCACGCATACATGTCTGAACCTCAATTATGTTGTGATCTGAGTATATTGTTTTTGATATGGTGACATTTCTTATCAGATCATCATTGTTAGTGAAGATGAGGTCTAGTGTATTCTCCAGTCTAGTAGGCTCTATTATTTGTTGGTTTAAATTGAATTTTGTGCAGAGATTTAAAAGCTCGTGTGAGTGTGAGTTTTCATCAGAGCTGCCTCCTGGTGTTATTACTGCAACAATATTATTTGCTATATTCCTCCATTTTAGGTGCTTTAAGTTGAAATCCCCCAGGAGCAAGATGTTGGGTGCAGGAGCTGGAAGATTTTCCAGACAGTGGTCAATTTTTAACAGCTGTTCCTGGAATTGCTGGGATGTTGCATCCGGAGGCTTGTAGACTACCACAATGACTAGGTTTTGGTTCTCGACCTTTACTGCTAAAACTTCCACTACATCATTTGAGGCATTTAGCAGTTCTGTGCAAACAAGTGACTCTGCAATGTACAGGCCAACCCCCCCCCCCCTTTTGCCTGTTCACTCTGTCACATCTGTATAGTTGTAACCTGGGATCCATATTTCGTTGTCCAAGTGATCCTTTATGTGGGTCTCAGTGAAAGCCGCGAACATTGCCTTTGCCTCTGCAAGCAGTCCACGGATGAAAGGTATTTTCTTGTTTGTTGCTGGCTTTAGACCCTGTATATTTGCAAAGAAGAATGTCATCGGACTGGTGGTATTGTTGGTACTGGGGGGGAAATTTTTTTCCGGCATTAGTATCTGTATCTGTTGGTTTGGAGTGGAGGCCATCGACTGTGGTTCCACTCCAGGAATGACTGGATTTGGTGTACGATTTCTGCCATTTCCTGCCAGTTTTTTTCCTTCCTGGCACTAAAAAACCTCTCCCTCTTGAGTGGCTGTGGCTACCCAGGTTTTCCCATGGCCTGGATGTTTTGTATCTTTTTGTCCCCTTTAGATGGTGTGCCTGGCAATTTAAGTTATAGCACAGTCTTTCCTGTACTGAAGAGGTACACATTTCAGGGTGAAAAAGCTTACAGGAAGGGAGTTTGCATTTTCCTGTTGTCATATGGGCACGGCATTTTCTAGGGTGGTCATAGTTGCACGTCCTGTCTGTTTTTCCAGATTTCCCATGTCTGCAGATACCAAGTGCATAGTATGTGCACAGGCTTGGTTTCCGTTTGCCTTGGGTTTCTGTGACTGTATTCCCTGTTGGTGCATGTTTCCATGTCTTATTCCTATCCTCCCTAGCACCAACAACGGAGCTCCCACCAGTTGTTTTTGGTAATATATCCTCACTATTGCTAGTGGAGTCCTCTTGTTTGCTATTTCCTGTGGTATTTCTAGTTTGCAATATTGGTTTTATCTTATCTTTGACTACAGTGTCTTCCATTGCAGACACTGCAAAGCTCAAGGCGGACATCAACCAAATCTTTCAGTGGGCTGCAGAAAACAATATGAAGTTCAACGATGAGAAATTTCAATTACTCAGATATGGTAAACATGAGGAAATTAAATCTTCATCAGAGTACAAAACAAATTCTGGCCACAAAATAGAGCGAAACACCAACGTCAAAGACCTGGGAGTGATCATGTCGGAGGATCTCACCTTCAAGGACCATAACATTGTATCAATCGCATCTGCTAGAAAAATGACAGGATGGATAATGAGAACCTTCAAAACTAGGGAGGCCAAGCCCATGATGACACTCTTCAGGTCACTTGTTCTATCTAGGCTGGAATATTGCTGCACACTAACAGCACCTTTCAAGGCAGGTGAAATTGCCGACCTAGAAAATGTACAGAGAACTTTCACGGCGCGCATAACGGAGATAAAACACCTCAATTACTGGGAGCGCTTGAGGTTCCTAAACCTGTATTCCCTGGAACGCAGGAGGGAAAATACATGATTATATACACCTGGAAAATCCTAGAGGGACTAGTACCGAACTTGCACACGAAAATCACTCACTACGAAAGCAAAAGACTTGGCAGACGATGCACCATCCCCCCAATGAAAAGCATGGGTGTCACTAGCACGTTAAGAGACCATACAATAAGTGTCAGGGGCCCGAGACTGTTCAACTGCCTCCCAGCACACATAAGGGGGATTACCAACAGACCCCTGGCAGTCTTCAAGCTGGCATTGGACAAGCACCTAAAGTCAGTTCCTGATCAGCCGGGCTGTGGCTCGTACGTTGGTTTGCGTGCAGCCAGCAGCAACAGTCTGGTTGATCAGGCTCTGATCCACCAGGAGGCCTGGTCACAGACCGGGCCGCGGGGGCGTTGACCCCCGGAACTCTCTCCAGGTAAACTCCAGGTAAACACTTGTTTCCCCACTACGGCTCCTGTCCCCTATGAGGTCATTTATATGTATTCCTTCCTGCGTATAATTCCCGACTACCTGGACAAAATCTCCAGCTTCACCATTACTGTCTCCCAGGACAGCACCTCCAGCTTCACCATTACTGTCTCCCAGGACAGCACCTCCCGCTTCACCATTACTGTCTCCCAGGACAGCATCTCCAGCTTCACCATTACTGTCTCCCAGGACAGCACTATCAGCCCCACATTTACTGACTACCAGGACATCACCTCCAGCCTTACAGTTTCTGACTACATGGCCAGTATCAAGGGCAGTACCATTCAGCCCAGACTTTTTATGTTCCCATCTGTTGTAGAAAGCTTCCAGGTTTTCTATGAAAGCAGCTTTGATGTTATCCTCTTTTAATACCCTTGTGATTTTAGTCCATAGATTTATCTCATTTGAGCATACCCAAAAATACTTCCCTGTTTTAATACTGCTTGTAGCTAGTTCTGGGATATCTGCACAAGGGGCGTGACACCAATTTCCACAAAAATGACAATTTATCCATGTGGAAGCCCGTTTGTTTGACTGACCACAGACTACACACAGCTTCATAATGATTTGAATGGTTGATTTACTGTAATTCTACTAGCAACCTCTTGAAAACTCTATTAATAACCTCCTTAAATGAAGCTCTAGCTATTTGTATTTCTATTTCTAACTGTACTTGTATATTGGACAGCTTACCGTGTACGTTCCTGATTTACATTTATTGTTTGCGTTTGATAAGGGCGAGAGCTTTAACCACCAGGCCACCGCTTATAAACTTTCACACAAGCAACTGTTACAAATTTTACAATATTTAACGCTAATATTAGTAAATACCTTGAACTGATGAAATACTGTACCCACTGCCTACCTTGGAACAAGACAGCAGCACACTGTGACGTACTAATTTTGCTAAATAACAAGTGGCTAGAGAGCGCAAAATACCAACACGATAACAAGATAACAGGCTAGTAGATAAGATACATTTCCCTTCAAATACCCACAAGACATGGAACACCAAACAGGTTGTACGCATCGTCTTATAAATATTGTTTATTTGTAATACAGGTAACATTTTAAATGATATAGTTACCCTTTAAGTGGTTCATTTATGTTGAAATTTCACGTTATTATTAAACTATACTTATTACATTTTTCTTTTCTCATTTTTACAGGTCATCAAAATCCACATTAAGGAGAAATGGCATCTGAAAATGTCTAAGTCGGTAAGAGTTTATTTTTGACAACCAATTTGCAATTTTTTTAGCTTATAAAAGGCTTTTGATCTCACTAATTGGAGTTACCAGTCCTTATTCTAGGATCAAACCTGATTACTACCCATTCCCTAGGTGCTTTATGACCCTTACGAGTGTAGCGCTTCCCAATAAATATTATCAAATTTTGGATAATCCAAAGGATTTATACAATAATATTTGCTAAGAAGTGTGTCTATATACACTGAGAAGTGTATATCTTTCAGTCTATATACACTGAGAAGTGTATACTTTTCAGTCTATATACACTGAGAAGTGTATATTTTTCAGAGTACATATATACTGACAGATTACAGGAGTATATTTCTCCCCTTCACAGCGGTAAAGCCTCGTATATCAACCTATTGGAGTGATTAAATTGAAATCTCAGTATATATATATAGTGAAATATACTTCTGTGTATATATCCTGTGAACAGTGTAATATACTTCTGTGTGTATATATCCTGTGAACAATGTAATATACTTCTCTATATATATCCTGTGAACAATGTAATATACCTCTCTGTGTATATATATCCTGTGAACAATGTAATATACCTCTCTGTGTATATATATCCTGTGAACAATGTAATATACCTCTCTGTGTATATATCCTGTGAACAATGTAATATACTTCTCTATATATATCCTGTGAACAATATAATATACCTCTCTGTGTATATATCCTGTGAACAATATAATATATCTCTGTGTATATATCCTGTGAACAATATAATATACCTCTCTGTGTATATATCCTGTGAACAATATAATATATCTCTGTGTATATATCCTGTGAACAATATATATATCTCTGTGTATATATCCTGTGAACAATATAATATATCTCTGTGTATATATCCTGTGAACAATATAATATATCTCTGTGTATATATCCTGTGAACAATATAATATATCTCTGTGTATATATCCTGTGAACAATATAATATATCTCTGTGTATATATCCTGTGAACAATATAATATACCTCTCTGTGTATATATCCTGTGAACAATATAATATATCTCTGTGTATATATCCTGTGAACAATATAATATATCTCTGTGTATATATCCTGTGAACAATATAATATATCTCTGTGTATATATCCTGTGAACAATATAATATATCTCTGTGTATATATCCTGTGAACAATATATATATCTCTGTGTATATATCCTGTGAACAATATAATATATCTCTGTGTATATATCCTGTGAACAATATAATATATCTCTGTGTATATATCCTGTGAACAATATAATATATCTCTGTGTATATATCCTGTGAACAATATAATATATCTCTGTGTATATATCCTGTGAACAATATAATATACCTCTCTGTGTATATATCCTGTGAACAATATAATATATCTCTGTGTATATATCCTGTGAACAATATAATATATCTCTGTGTATATATCCTGTGAACAATATAATATATCTCTGTGTATATATCCTGTGAACAATATAATATACCTCTCTGTGTATATATCCTGTGAACAATATAATATATCTCTGTGTATATATCCTGTGAACAATATAATATATCTCTGTGTATATATCCTGTGAACAATATAATATATCTCTGTGTATATATCCTGTGAACAATATAATATATCTCTGTGTATATATCCTGTGAACAATATAATATATCTCTGTGTATATATCCTGTGAACAATATAATATACCTCTCTGTGTATATATCCTGTGAACAATATAATATATCTCTGTGTATATATCCTGTGAACAATATAATATATCTCTGTGTATATATCCTGTGAACAATATAATATATCTCTGTGTATATATCCTGTGAACAATATAATATATCTCTGTGTATATATCCTGTGAACAATATAATATATCTCTGTGTATATATCCTGTGAACAATATAATATATCTCTGTGTATATATCCTGTGAACAATATAATATATCTGTGTATATATCCTGTGAACAATATAATATATCTCTGTGTATATATCCTGTGAACAATATAATATATCTCTGTGTATATATCCTGTGAACAATATAATATACCTCTCTGTGTATATATCCTGTGAACAATATAATATATCTCTGTGTATATATCCTGTGAACAATATAATATATCTCTGTGTATATATCCTGTGAACAATATAATATATCTCTGTGTATATATCCTGTGAACAATATAATATACCTCTCTGTGTATATATCCTGTGAACAATATAATATATCTCTGTGTATATATCCTGTGAACAATATAATATATCTCTGTGTATATATCCTGTGAACAATATAATATATCTCTGTGTATATATCCTGTGAACAATATAATATATCTCTGTGTATATATCCTGTGAACAATATAATATATCTCTGTGTATATATCCTGTGAACAATATAATATATCTCTGTGTATATATCCTGTGAACAATATAATATACCTCTCTGTGTATATATCCTGTGAACAATATAATATATCTCTGTGTATATATCCTGTGAACAATATAATATATCTCTGTGTATATATCCTGTGAACAATATAATATATCTCTGTGTATATATCCTGTGAACAATATAATATATCTCTGTGTATATATCCTGTGAACAATGTAATATAATATACCTCTGTGAACAAAAAAAAAAGAGATTATTTAATTGTAATGTGCAAGTATATTATTATTATTATTATTATTATTATTATTATTATTATTACATTTAGCTGGGAAGCACTAAACACTGAGAGGGGAATGGGAGGCAATCAGGTTCGATCCAAGGAAGAGGATGAACAGGTGTCATTCCTTGGATCAAGATCTCCCCACCTCCAGGTATACATGGTTTAAATAACAGCAATAACGTTAAATCACTTACCTGAGTGATGGGTAGATCAGGGTCTCTGATTGGTGCTGGTGAGGCTAAAACTTAATGATGGAAGCCTGTGGGGTTTGAAGCCTGTCTACTACACCAGGCTCATTAAGGTTGGTTGATGGGGGTTTGAAGCCTGTCTACTACACCAGGCTTATTAAGGTTGGTTAATGGGGTTTAAAGTCTATCTACTACACCAGGGTCATTAAGGTTGGTTAATGGGGCTTAAAGTCTATCTACTACACCAGGGTCATTAAGGTTGGTTAATTGGGTTTAAAGTCTATCTACTACACCAGGGTCATTAAGGTTGGTTAATGGGGTTTAAAGTCTATCTACTACACCAGGGTCATTAAGGTTGGTTAATGGGGTTTAAAGTCCATCTATTACACCAGGGTCATTAAGGTTGGTTAATGGGGTTTAAAGTCTATCTACTACACGAGGGTCATTAAGGCTGGTTAATGGGGTTTAAAGTCTACTACACCAGGGTCATTAAGGTTGGTTAATGGGGTTTAAAGTCTATCTACTACACGAGGGTCATTAAGGTTGGTTAATGGGGGTTTTAAAGTCTATCTACTACACCAGGGTCATTAAGGTTGGTTAATGGGGTTTAAAGTCTATCTACTACACCAGGGTCATTAAGGGTTTGGTTAATGGGGTTTAAAGTCTATCTACTACACCAGGGTCATTAAGGTTGGTTAATGGGGTTTAAAGTCTATCTACTACACCAGGGTCATTAAGGTTGGTTAATGGGGTTTTTAAAGTCTATCTACTACACCAGGGTCATTAAGGTTGGTTAATGGGGTTTAAAGTCTATCTACTACACGAGGGTCTTTAAGGCTGGTTAATGGGGTTTAAAGTCTACTACACCAGGGTCATTAAGGTTGGTTAATGGGGTTTAAAGTCTATCTACTACACGAGGGTCATTAAGGTTGGTTAATGGGGTTTAAAGTCTATCTACTACACCAGGGTCATTAAGTTGGTTAATGGGGTTTAAAGTCTATCTACTACACCAGGGTCATTAAGGTTGGTTAATGGGGTTTAAAGTCTATCTACTACACGAGGGTCATTAAGGCTGGTTAATGGGGTTTAAAGTCTACTACACCAGGGTCATTAAGGTTGGTTAATGGGGTTTAAAGTCTATCTACTACACCAGGGTCATTAAGGTTGGTTAATGGGGTTTAAAGTCTACTACACCAGGGTCATTAAGGTTGGTTAATGGGGTTTAAAGTCTATCTACTACACGAGGGTCATTATGGTTGGTTAATGGGGTTTAAAGTCTATCTACTACACCAGGGTCATTAAGGTTGGTTAATGGGGTTTAAAGTCTATCTACTACACCAGGGTCATTAAGGTTGGTTAATGGGGTTTAAAGTCTATCTACTACACCAGGGTCATTAAGTTGGTTAATGGGGTTTAAAGTCTATCTACTACACCAGGGTCATTAAGGTTGGTTAATGGGGTTTAAAGTCTATCTACTACACGAGGGTCATTAAGGCTGGTTAATGGGGTTTAAAGTCTACTACACCAGGGTCATTAAGGTTGGTTAATGGGGTTTAAAGTCTATCTACTACACCAGGGTCATTAAGGTTGGTTAATGGGGTTTAAAGTCTATCTACTACACCAGGGTCATTAAGGTTGGTTAATGGGGTTTAAAGTCTATCTACTACACCAGGGTCATTAAGGTTGGTTAATGGGGTTTAAAGTCTATCTACTACACCAGGGTCATTAAGGTTGGTTAATGGGGTTTAAAGTCTATCTACTACACCAGGGTTATTAAGGTTGGTTAATGGGGTTTAAAGTCTATCTACTACACCAGGGTCATTAAGGTTGGTTAATGGGGTTTAAAGTCTATCTACTACACCAGGGTCATTAAGGTTGGTTAATGGGGTTTAAAGTCTATCTACTACACCAGGGTCATTAAGGTTGGTTAATATGGTTTAAAGTCTATCTACTACACCAGGGTCATTAAGGTTGGTTAATGGGGTTTAAAGTCTATCTACTACACGAGGGTCATTAAGGTTGGTTAATGGGGTTTAAAGTCTATCTACTACACCAGGGTCATTAAGGTTGGTTAATGGGGTTTAAAGTCTATCTACTACACCAGGGTCATTAAGGCTGGTTAATGGGGTTTAAAGTCTATCTACTACACCAGGGTCATTAAGGTTGGTTAATGGGGTTTAAAGTCTATCTACTACACCAGGGTCATTAAGGCTGGTTAATGGGGTTTAAAGTCTATCTACTACACGAGGGTCATTAAGGCTGGTTAATGAGGTTTAAAGTCTTTCTACTACACGAGGGTCATTAAGGCTACAAAAATTAAACAGCATGTACTATAACAACCCCTTTTTTGTGATATTAAATTTAACACAAAAAGTATATAGCAAACTTTATATTAGAGCCTAATATAACATAACGTAATATTTCACTCCAGGAAGAATTCAACCACCTACTGACCACTTAAAGTGATGCTGTACACTTTAAGTGTTCCACTGTACACTTTTCACACACTATTATCCGGTTTTTTCATCGTTTTTTAACGAAAAAACGAAAAAACTATCTTCGTTGTTGTCAACAAGTTGGTCACGTGACCTGCCAGGGGCGCACACCTTTACAATGTTATTTTTTTATTATTTTATTCTAATTTACTCTTTGTTGATTTTTAATTTTGATATATTATTTATTCTAATTTACTCTAAATTCTAATTAGTTCTAATTCACTCTTAGTTTTAAATTTCAATATTTGTTATTATATATTTTTATTATATATAGGTGAGGGTCGTTATTATTATTATTATTATAATTATTATTATTATTATAATTATTATTATTATTCCTTTAAATTTTCGGGAGAGCGCTAAAGCCGTAGGGGCATACAGCGTTTGAAACGTAAATTTTCCCAAACTTAACTATGCTGGCAGGTTATGGCTGATATATAGATGTATAATATATATATATATATATATATATATATATATATATATATATATTATATATATATATATATATATATATATAACAATTGGGTATATTTATTGAGGAAACGTTTCGCCTACACAGTAGGCTTCTTCAGTCATTATTGAGTACAAAATGCAGATGAGGTGGTCAGTCCCTCCAGGCTGAGGGACTGACCACCCCAAATCCCCTTTCTCCAAGGTTGATGGACTTGATAGGTCCTCGGTCCCCTTAGCCTTGTTCCATGATAGATCAAGGGTAAGGGACTGATCTCCTTTAAGTTACCTATTATAATAGTCACTTCTGTGTCAGATTGAAAAAGTCTACTGTCATTATCTCTTCCGACAGGTGAACAAGAAGGTTTCTCACTGCAAAATCTGTTTTTCTGTCTACGACTTCGATACCCGTCGCTCCAGAGTGCTGCCTTGCGGTCACACCTTCTGCAGTAGTTGTATCCACGACATCATCAGAAGCAAAAGTGGGTGTCTTACCTGTCCCAACTGCCGCAGTGAACACACTCTCACTTCCGCCTCTGAACTCAAACCTAACTACACCGTAGAGGAAATGTATTCGGTCGATAATTCTCCTGTGATGGATTCCACTTCCATGGCATCCGGTGGTTTCACTCCCAAGTTGAATGCTGGAGTCTGTGGGGAACATGGCCAGTATCTGTTGTTCCACTGTGACACTTGCGAGGTGTGGATCTGTCAGGCTTGTACAGTAATCGACCATCCTCGAGATGAATGCGCAGTTGTGAGTATTAAGAAGGCTATTGAAAACCTGATGACAAAGGCGAGGAATGAGGTCAATTGCCAGATTGATAAGTGCAACAAAGCTGTGTCTCAGCTTAGCCATTATAATCAGGAACTTGAAGAGCAAATCCAGGCTCACAAGAACCTCCTCAGAAACAAAGAAAGAGTAATAGGGAAGTATGGAGACCTGGAAGAGGCCCTCCAGATGGAACAACTCACAGTCAGCAAGAGAAGAGAAGAAGGTTGTGCAGTGATGCAGGATCTTAGGACCCTTAAGGACCGTATTGCAAAGGCTGCAACTCTGCAAGAAATGAATAACTGTAATACTGATGCTTCGCAATTTGAAGGAGCAGCTAGCAATTGGATAAAGGACTTCGAAAATAGCTTTCCAGATCAGCCTCTTCTATCAAAAGCTAAGAAGGTGAGAGTGTTCTGTCTCCTAAAGTGACCCTTCATGGGGGATGGGGGGGGGGGAATTAATGCTGATGAATGGCTCTCTATCCTATAAATTGGAGTTATATCTCCATTTTCTTGGATCCATTTTCATGGAGTTATATCTCCATTTCCTTGGATCCATTTCCATGGGGTTATATCTCCATCTCTTGTCCCCCAGACACTGTGTGATTCTCAAAGATGCAACACCCCTCTCAGTATACTTACACAGTTGTATGCTCAGGTACGTTACTGCCTTTACTTGTCTCTAACAATATTTTATTACATGTAAAGTACACGCTGTATACTGTACAAAGAAATAAAAAATAAATTTTGGAAGATTTATATATCTTGGGGAAGTGATTCTCAAATTTTTTTTTGGGTCCCATTCAGTCTTTTCACCATATATCAAAGTGTTATTACCTCTTCCCAAGACTGACTCAAAACGTACATTCCAAATCTATGTGTATATACATCTAAATGTGTGTATATATATGTATATATACATCTAGAAATGTATATCTCTTATGCATGTACATTTATAGGTGATTAATATGCATGTAATATTCAATTTATTTTCTATGTCAGTACATATACATTTACCTGGAGAGGAGTATACCTGGAGTATACCTGGAGAATACCTGGAGAGGGTTTCTGGGGGTCAACGCCCCCGCGGCCCGGTCTGCGACCAGGCTTCTGCATTATTCACGTAATGTTTAATGAATGTCACGGATTAAATTAAAAACTACAGCTCTACATATGATATATAATCTACAGGCTACCACACTTTGTTCAGTGGTACCAGGTCCCCTGAAACAACCTAAAATTCCCCCAGGGGAAGAATTTCCCCCTGATTGAGAACCCCTGCCTTAGAGGGCGTATACACTGTGATATTTACCTGTAAATGTACATACAGTAAGATATATACACTTCTATATGTATATGTACATAGATACACGCATCTAGATGTATATATACATAGATACACACATCTAAATATATATATATATATATATATATATATATATATATATATATATATATATATATATATATAATGTATACATATATATACATAGATACACACATCTAGATGTATACACACATGGATACACACATCCAGATGTATATATACACATAGATACACACATCTATATGTATAAACACATAGATACACACATCTAGATGTATATACACATAGATATACACATCTAGATGTATACACACATGGATAAACACATAGATACACACATCCAGATGTATATATACACACAGATACACACATCTAGATATATATATATATATATACATTAATGAGAATCCGTTTTGCCCACGATAAGCCCATCAATTCAACAGAGACAGAATTAGCAATATCCCCTCAACTCATTTATACCTATTGCTGTCATTTGCCTTCCAAATTATGGTACAATATTATTTTTCTCTCCCACAGATGAACATGATGACCAGTACAGCACTCGAACTTATGAACTGGGAGTTCGTAACCTGCCTTACAGACACGCAACTTCAGGAGATTGCACAAAGCACTAAGAAAATGGTATTGTGGAAAATTGCATTTAGCTGAATGTATCATTATGTACATAACAGTAAATGAACAGATAATTATTATTTATCAGTTAGAAAAGTAGGAATTTGGGACACCTAGGCCGCAAAAAATATCCCCCTTCGATACCTACCACTGTCATATCCACAAGTTGCTCTGGACCTATTAATTAAATAAAATATACATACACCAGGAATACTGGTAAATATATAAATTTGTGGACTGTATATTAAAAATAATAAATGGTTATATATACACACATTTGCATAACAGAAGGAAAATATATCTTAATATCACTCACCAATTTGACTGGATATTAAGTTGTATCATACTCAGAAAAACCTCACTAACTAAATTTATGAAAACACTGGCCAGAATTATACACAAATCTAGAGAGCTTATCTGAGGTTCCTGGAGCTGTCTTGTCCAGTCGTCTGATATCTCAAATTATGCAGGAATGCATATCCACCAATTTCGCCTCCTATTTGAGAAGTGTCAGCCAAATTTTATCCTCTAGAGCACGAAAATTCCTTCCCATTACACTAACGTTGTATCCAATTCAAAGCCAAGATGGCGAGTCTCGTCTGCGCAGACGCAGGCTTTCCGTTTTCTATTATATAAATATTATTAAATACAGTATGGCCATCTATTTACATATAAATACCGAATTTCTGGAAAATATATACAGTATTTTCCACAGGTATGTTGTTGGTCCTGTGTGTTTTGGAAGAGAAGACAGGGTGTTTTAAAAAGATGGACCCGATTGTGATATATACTGTTTTGAAAGTGGGTCCTTGTTTTGAAACACCCTGTGTTTATTTGGTAAATAGGAACCCACAGCCTCGGAGAAGAAGAAATGACCAGGGAAATATCTAGAGATTTTTCCCCAAAGTTACACTAGCATTTTTTCCCTACTACCCTGCATATATTTTTATGTACTCTTATCGCTACTAGACAAGAGATATGCACTTCAGTGTGTATATAAACTGTGTTCTTTAAGTATTTTATTCATGTTTACTTAAAATCTCAAGAATAATGGTTATCTTGACAAGATTATCATAATTTTGTTATCAAGATAATCGTTCATTAATTAAAAATCTAATATATAAGTTACCAGATGATTTGCTTCTTAGTGTTTGGTTAATTAGGTTTGAAGTCTATCTACTACACCAGGGTTATTATGGTCGTATGTCTCCTCTTTAACACCTAGAATTAAATCCATATAACCGAAAATATATTCCCAGTGTATATACTCTGAGAGATATATACTTCTCAGTATATATACTGGGATATGAAACTTTTAGTCTTTAAACACTGAAGTACACCTCTCAGTGTATATGCAGTGATATACACCTCTCAGTGTATATGCAGTTATATACACTTCTCAGTGTATATGCAGTTATATACACTTCTCAGTGTATATGCAGTTATATACAACCTCTCAGTGTATATGCAGTTAATAACACTTCTCAGTGTATATGCAGTTATATACACTTCTCAGTGTATATGCAGTTATATACACCTCTCAGTGTATATGCAGTTATATACACTTCTCAGTGTATATGCAGTTATATACACTTCTCAGTGTATATGCAGTTATATACACCTCTCAGTGTATATGCAGTTATATACACCTCTCAGTGTATATGCAGTTATATACACTTCTCAGTGTATATGCAGTGATATACACCTCTCAGTGTATATGCAGTTATATACACCTCTCAGTGTATATGCAGTTATATACCTTCTCAGTGTATATGCAGTTATATACACCTCTCAGTGTATATGCAGTTATATACACTTCTCAGTGTATATGCAGTTATATACACACTCTCAGTGTATATGCAGTTATATACACTTCTCAGTGTATATGCAGTTTATATACACCTCTCAGTGTATATGCAGTTATATACACTTCTCCAGTGTATATGCAGTTATATACACCTCTCAGTGTATATGCAGTTATATACACTTCTCAGTGTATATGCAGTTATATACACCTCTCAGTGTATATGCAGTTATATACACCTCTCAGTGTATATGCAGTTATATACACCTCTCAGTGTATATGCAGTTATATACACCTCTCAGTGTATATGCAGTGATATACACCTCTCAGTGTATATGCAGTTATATACACCTCTCAGTGTATATGCAGTTATATACACCCTCAGTGTATATGCAGTTATATACACCTCTCCAGTGTATATGCAGTGATATACACCTCTCAGTGTATATGCAGTTATATACACCTCTCAGTGTATATGCAGTGATATACACCTCTCAGTGTATATGCAGTTATATACACCTCTCATGTATATGCAGTTATATACACTTCTCAGTATATGCAGTTATATACACCTCTCAGTGTACATACAGTGTTATACACCTCTCAGTGTATATGCAGTTATATACACCTCTCAGTGTATATGCAGTGATATACACCTCTCAGTGTATATGCAGTGATATACACCTCTCAGTGTACATACAGTGTTATACACCTCTCAGTGTATATGCAGTTATATACACCTCTCAGGTATATGCAGTGATATACACCTCTCAGTGTATATGCAGTGATATACACCTCTCAGTGTACATACAGTGTTATACACCTCTCAGTGTATATGCAGTTATATACACCTCTCAGTGTATATGCAGTGATATACACCTCTCAGTGTATATGCAGTGATATACACCTCTCAGTGTATATGCAGTGATATACACCTCTCAGTGTACATACAGTGTTATACACCTCTCAGTGTATATGCAGTAATATACACCTCTCAGTGTACATGCACTGAGTGATACATATCTCTTTATATACACATCTCCCATTGTATATACACACTTCTGTATATGCACATTTATCAGTGTATATACACCTTAATGTATATATTATCTGGATTACTGTGATTTTTCCAGATTATCATGTATATAGAAATACATACTTTCTATATATTTTGACAGTGTCAATCAGTTTGGAATCATCATTAAATTGCACTTCGTAAAAATAGTTTATCGTGCATTGGGCTGTATAACCCTTGTGGTTTAGCGCTTCCTTTTGATTATAATAATTATCCTGTAGCGAGAAACTTCAACAAAGTCAACAGGAATCGATCCCAAACAAGAAAGTTAGCCAGAATGTCTTCGTAATATTTTTATTTACAGCTGTTGTGTGCTTATGTGAAGACTTCAGAAGTGTATGCAGCACTGAGAAGTAAAGATAAGCAGAGATATGTACCTCTTATCTCTAAAGATAACTCCTTTATCTTCGGAAACATACAAGATCACCTGCCCCCCTCCCGAGCTGTGCTTATGTCAGTAAGTTACTGTGGACTTGTGACTTTGTAAGAATTATCGATAACTGCTCTAATCTTTGGTATTTTTTATCTGATTAATGTAGTCTGACTTAATTATCATAATTGTGAGTTTAAAAAACGTGGATTTGTTTAAACCAGTTTGAAATGTGGACAGGTTTATTGTAAAGATTATTTTCCAAGCATTTTTAGGAATTGTTATCTATTGAAATAATGATTTATATGGTTCAAGAGCTTTAATATACAGGAAATATGTCCTCAGTGTTTAATAGAAATAATTATTTAAATGCTGTTGAGGGATTATTATTATTATTAAATATTCGCCGGTATTCTCCCGGCCCGGGCCTTTTCCAAGTGGTGGCCCGGCCTTGGCTCCCTCTTTAGGGAGTGTCTGAGACCTAAGTCTCCCATGGGAGGAGGCACAAGTACCTCCTCATCTTTGGGACCAACTGTCCCCAGGCCTAGCCACAAGCTAGGCCTCTCTGGTCTGCCATCCCCGCCCCAAGGGGGCTAATGGGAATGACAGTCTTATGTTTACCTGGAGAGAGTTCCGGGAATCAACGCCCCCGCGGCCCGGTCTGAGACCAGGCCTCCTGGTGGATCAGAGCCTGATCAACCAGGCTGTTGCTGCTGGCTGCACGCAAACCAACATATGAGCTACAGCCCGGCTGATCCGGAACTGACTTTAGGTGCTTGTCCAGTGCCAGCTTGAAGACTGCCAGGGGTCTGTTGGTAATCCCCCTTATGTGTGCTGAGAGGCAGTTGAACAGTCTCGGGCCCCTGACACTTATTGTATGGTCTCTTAACGTGCTAGTGACACCCCTGCTTTTCATTGGGGGGATGGTGCATCGTCTGCCAAGTCTTTTGCTTTCGTAGTGAGTGATTTTCGTGAGCTAAAGGCTCGGGCTCAGGCACCTACCCTACCCTAGAAGGGTTAGGCATGGTGTCGATGCTGTTGAGGGACTGATCACTTTATCTTTGGTATATAGTTCTGCTGTCTTCCGGTTATATCCTTGTATTGCAATAAAGATACCCAGATGTTGCACATGTGTCTAATTCTTTATCTTATAATAAACACCGCAGTAGGCCTTCAGACCCACGCTAGGCATGTTCAACTCATATCTAACATTGTATACCGGCCTTATGTTTTCTTTTATTAATATATCGGCCGTCTCCCACCAAGGCAGGGTGGCCTGAAAAAAAAACTTTCATCATTCACTCCATCACTGTCTTGCCAGAGGTGCGTTTACACTACAGTTATAAAACTGGAACTTTAACACCCCTCCTTCTGAGTGCAGACACTGTACTTCCCATCTCCAGGCCTGCTGGTTTCCCTGAATCCCTTCATAAATGTTACCTTACTTATACTCCAACAGTACATCAAGTCCTAAAATCTATTTGCCTCCATTTGCGCCTATCTAGCATGCTCATGCATGCTTGCTGGAAGTCCAAGCCCCTCGCACACAAAACCTTAACCCCCTCCCTCCAACCTTGCCTAGGCCGATCCCTACCCAGCCTTCCCTCCAATACAGATTTATACACTCTCGAAGTCATTCTATATCGTTTCATCTTCTCTATATGTCCTAACCACCTCAACAACCCCTCCTCAGCCCTCTGGATAAGAGTTTTGGTAATCCCACACCTCCTCCTAATCTCCAAACTAATGATTCTCTCCATTATATTCAAATGACACACTGCCCTCCAGTCTCCTCCACTGCCTCCAGCCCTCTCCTTGTTGCAACATTCACAACCCATGCCTCACACCCATACAAGATGGTTGGTATAACTATACTCCCATACATCCCCCACTTTGCTTTCATGGATAAAGTTCTTTGTCTCCACAGACTCCTCAATGCACCACTCACCTTTTTACACCTCGTTAATTCTATGATTTACCTCATCTTTTATAGACCCATCTGCTGACACGTCAACTTTAATTTCAGCTGGAAGACCTATTGGCTCAGACTGTTCCTCTGTATGGAGTGGTTGAGATGAAAAGTTGTCGCTTTGCAACCAAGATATCCTCTGTTGGAGAGGGTTACTGGCTGGATCCTGTTAGTCCTTCACAAATTGCAGTAACAGCCTGCAAGATTCCCGTAAGTTTCAGAGGAACTGAAGGTATCTTCTGTTCCTTAGATCAGATTATCTTAAATTCTTCAAGTATAGTATGATCATTAAGGGTAAACTTTGTTAGTTTTATAATATGGATCCAGGTGTTATCTAGGTATGTTCAGCCTTCAGTGTACGCATTTGTGCTCCAGAAGGTGGATAAAATAACGTGAACAACTGCTGATTGAAAGTTCTATAAATGACTAAATAATCAATTTCAATGTTATCAAGTTCTTGCCCCTAGCTCCTAAGACGATAATGTATCATCTGACACAGCTAGAGTTGTTCGATTTGGTTTAAGAACGAAATGAAGCCGGACACATGGAGTAGCGCCACACTTCGCTGGAGTCATGGAATAATTTCGCATCTGTGGAGGTGCACTGGAACAGATTTCCTCCTAACCGTTGTTTTTGGAAGAGTTAGAGGGCAGGTTTTGCTTGAGGAATGACTCAAAATTCCCTGGATACTGTTCGAATTTGTCTATGAATCAATTCCTCGATCAATTAGTGTTGTGTTAGCTGCAAGGTGAGGACCAACTTCAACCCTGTACCTTCTCTGCTTGCATAGTGAAGTCGAGTTATTGCTCTTGACCTATCACATTTGACTCTTACTGACCAAGTTATAGTTATACAGTTTTCTTTTATGAAGGAAGGTGGAATATATTAAAGTACCCATATCTTTTATTTTCTTTTTAGCGCTGGAAACATTAGTGAAAGAAGACTGGTGTATGCTGGATGGGAGAAGGTCGCCAGGGTTCAGCTCAACTCTATCTTAGGGATGGTCAATCCTGCAACCAGTTCTTTTCATGCATCACGAAGACCTCCTCCTTCCAACGCCTTCAATGATTGCGTAAGATAGATTACAATTTCATGTATCCCTTATAGCTAATTAAACACACGGGTGATTGTGGGGGTCAACGCCTGTGCTGTCCCAGGTTCCTGACTCCAGGGAGCTTCTTGGTGGATCAGAGACTCGGTCAACCAGCTGTTACTGTGGCCGCAACGTATAACATCTAACGAACCACAGCCCGGCTGGTCCGGGTACTGACTTTGGTGACCTGTCCCAGCAGACGCCAGCGTCCATTCGTAACCCGTTTACGCATGCTGGGAGGCAGTTGAATAGTCTTGGGCCCCTGACACTTTGTGTTACCTTTGTGTTACCTTTGTGTTACCTTTGTGTTACCTTGTGGTTACCTTGTGTTACCTTGTGTGTTACCTTTGTGTTACCTTGTGTGTTACCTTTGTGTTACCTTGTGTGTTACCTTTGTGTTACCTTGTGTGTTACCTTTGTGTTACCTTTGTGTTACCTTGTGTGTTACCTTTGTGTTACCTTGTGTTACCTTTGTGTTACCTTGTGTGTTACCTTTGTGTTACCTTGTGTGTTACCTTTGTGTTACCTTGTGTGTTACCTTTGTGTTACCTTGTGTGTTACCTTTGTGTTACCTTGTGTGTTACCTTTGTGTTACCTTGTGTGTTACCTTTGTGTTACCTTGTGTGTTACCTTTGTGTTACCTTGTGTGTTACCTTTGTGTTACCTTGTGTGTTACCTTTGTGTTACCTTGTGTGTTACCTTTGTGTTACCTTGTGTGTTACCTTTGTGTTACCTTGTGTGTTACCTTTGTGTTACCTTGTGTGTTACCTTTGTGTTACCTTGTGTGTTACCTTTGTGTTACCTTGTGTGTTACCTTTGTGTTACCTTGTGTGTTACCTTTGTGTTACCTTGTGTGTTACCTTTGTGTTACCTTGTGTGTTACCTTTGTGTTACCTTGTGTGTTACCTTTGTGTTACCTTGTGTGTTACCTTTGTGTTACCTTGTGTGTTACCTTTGTGTTACCTTGTGTGTTACCTTTGTGTTACCTTGTGTGTTACCTTTGTGTTACCTTGTGTGTTACCTTTGTGTTACCTTGTGTGTTACCTTTGTGTTACCTTGTGTGTTACCTTTGTGTTACCTTGTGTGTTACCTTTGTGTTACCTTGTGTGTTACCTTTGTGTTACCTTGTGTGTTACCTTTGTGTTACCTTGTGTGTTACCTTTGTGTTACCTTGTGTGTTACCTTTGTGTTACCTTGTGTGTTACCTTTGTGTTACCCGCCTCTTTTTCATTGCACCATCTGAACATTTGAGACTAGTCCCTCTAGGACTTTCCAGGTGTATATTATGACGTATCTTCCCTATTTGAAGACTGTTATAATAAGCATTACTTGGGAAAGTTTAGTCAGGAAACAGGACGAGCATTTCCTGATGCGGGTCACAGACCGGGCCGCGGGGGCGTTGACCCCCGAAACTCTCTCCAGGTAAACTCCAGGTTAGTTAAATGATGATACGCAGCTGGAGTTTTTGGTCATCTGACTGAGACCTTCTACTGGCTTATCGGTTAACCTTTAAAAATTTGTTATAATTAAAATCATTCTTGATCTAGTGACAAACAACACTGAAGTTAATTTTTAAAGGGATGGACTGGTAAGCCAGCGGAAGGCCTCGGTCAAATGACCAAAAACTCCAGCTGTGGGTCATCATATGACTAAGACCCGCGTCAGGAAACAAAATGAAGACCTGAGTCAAGAAGCACTATTTTCTGACTAATAAACTAGCAATAAAGCCCGTAGCTGGGTTGCTAGCACACTCAGCTCACACATTGATGTTCGGGGTTTGATCCCCGGTAAGGGTGAAAACATTAGGACGTGTTTCCTTAAAACACCTGCTGTCCATGTTCACCTATCAGTAAAATAGGTACCTGAGTGTTAGTGAACTGCTGTGGGTCGCATCCTGGGGACAAATTTGACCTAATTTACCCGAAATGTTCTGCATAACAAGGGGCTTTCTATATAGTAGTACGTATGTCATTGGTGTCAGCTATGGTCTGTAAAAGTTGCATAATATACCTGTAAAAATGAATATTATTATGATTGTAAGAACCATTACTTACAGTAAATTCTGGTACTAATATTTAAATTAAAAGTGGACTGTATAATGTGAGGTGGACTTGCAGAAGGAGGGGGGAAGGGGGTACACAGATATATATACAATATTAGGGAAAAAATTAATTGGTTATCACCCACACTTACCAAATTTTCTCTTGAGGTCGCTGATTGCCGCTGGATCACCCACAACAAATATCTTACTATGAAGAAACTAAACTGGCCAGATAGCTCAACATAAAAAGATTTACTTAGCTGTGAGTGCTGATGGCTTTATTTCCCAGTTCAAAATCCAATTCTCGAAATCCATGTGGTCCCACGATTGAATTCCAGCATGGCATCCTCTTATTTCACCCTGTATCCACTCTATTGCAGTGGTTTTCATACTTATTTTTTCTCAGTCTGCAGTGTAAGGCGTCACCGCATTATTTTCTGGTCCTTTGAGGCCATTCCAATTCAATTTGGCCTCGATGGCGATTGATTATATTAACCGGTATTCAGACCGATCTTCCACAAATTTCCCAATATGGCGCCTCCTCCACCCGACGCTACTTGTCTGTTGGTTCTCTTTATCACTTCCAAATTAATTTTTAAACCAACAGCAATACATATCATCGAATTACATTTTAAAAATTATGAAACATAATTTTGGAAAATGCACCAAATTTTCTACAACTATGTTCCTTATGTGCATTTTACCCCATGGCCACTAAGCTACACAAATCCCCACATTTTAGGGCCCCCCATTTGGGGAGGGGGCCCTTATATGTGGGTGGGGGCCCCTGGACAAATGCCATTGTTTCCCTCACTTAAATCCCACCCTACTGTCAGGGTTGGGTGAAACGTTGTTAATAAAAGAACAGTATTATACACAAGGTCAACAAGGAGACGGAAATAAATGGTATAAAATACCGACACAATGGAAATATAAACACATATGCAGTATAATGTGATCCTTTATTGACAACATTTCGCCCACACAGTGGGCTTTTTCAAGTCAAACAGACCTACAAACACAAACAGATCTAGATCTGTTTGTGACTTGAAAAAGCCCACTGTACTCACCTAATTGTACTCACCTAATTGTGGTTGCAGGGGTCGAGACTCAGCTCCTGGCCCCGCCTCTTCACTGATCGCTACTGGATCCTCTCTCTCTCTGCTTCCTGAGCTTTGTCATACCTCTTCTTAAAACTATGTATGGTTCCTGCCTCCACTACTTCACTTGCTAGGCTATTCCACTTGCTGACAACTCTATGACTGAAGAAATACTTCCTAACGTCCCTGTGACTCGTCTGAGTCTTCAGCTTCCAGTTGTGACCCCTTGTCCCTGTGTCCCCTCTCTGGAACATCCTATCTCTGTCCACCTTGTCTATTCCCCGCAGTATCTTGTATGTCGTTATCATGTCTCCCCTGACCCTTCTGTCCTCCAGTGTCGTCAGTCCGATTTCCCTTAACCTTTCCTCGTACGACATTCCCTTGAGCTCTGGGACTAGCCTTGTTGCAAACCTTTGTACTTTCTCTAACTTCTTGACGTGCTTGACCAGGTGTGGGTTCCAGACTGGTGCTGCATACTCCAGTATGGGCCTAACATACACAGTGTACAGTGTCTTGAACGATTCCTTATTGAGGTATCGGAACGCTATTCTCAGGTTTGCCAGGCGCCCGTATGCTGCAGCGGTTATTTGGTTGATGTGTGCCTCCGGTGATGTACTCGGTGTTATGGTCACCCCAAGGTCTTTCTCCTGAGTGAGGTCTGTAGTCTTTGTCCACCTAGCCTATATTCTGTCTGCGGTCTTCTTTGCCCCTCCCCAATCTTCATGACTTTGCATTTGGCTGGATTGAATTCGAGGAGCCAGTTACTGGACCACATGTCCAGCCTCTCCAGGTCTCTTTGCAGTCCTGCCTCATCCTCGTCCGATTTAATTCTTCTCATCAACTTCACGTCATCTGCGAACAGGGACACTTCAGAGTCTATTCCTTCCATCATGTCGTTCACATATATCAAAAATAGCACTGGTCCTAGAACTGACCCCTGTGGGACCCCGCTCGTAACAGGCGCCCACTGTGATACCTCTTCACGTACCATGACTCGTTGCTGCCTCCCTGTCAGGTATTCCCTTATCCATTGCAGTGCCCTTCCTTTTATGTGTGCCTGATCCTCCAGCTTCTGCACTAATCTCTTGTGGGGAACTGTGTCAAAGGCCTTCCTGCAGTCTAGGAAAACGCAATCTACCCAAACCCTCTCTTCGTGTCTTACTTCTGTTACCTTGTCATAAAACTCCAGGAGGTTTGTGATACAAGATTTGCCTTCCATGAACCCATGCTGGTTTTCATTTATAATCTTGTTCCTTTCCAGGTGTTCGACCACTCTCCTCCTGATAATCTTCTCCATGACTTTGCACACAATACATGTCAGAGACACAGGTCTGTAGTTTAGTGCCTCGTTTCTGTTTCCTTTCTTAAATATGGGGACTACATTAGCTGTCTTCCATTTCTCAGGTAGTTGCCCAGTTTCAAGGGATTTGTTGAAGATTGTGGTTAGAGGCACACACAGCATCTCTGCTCCTTCTCTAAGGACCATGGGGAGATGTTGTCCCGGGCCATCGCCTTTGAGGTGTCAAGGTCACTTAAGAGCTTCTTCACCTCCTCCTCAGTTGTTTGTATGTCATCCAACACTTGTTGGTATATTCCCTCTTGATGTTCCCTTCTGTGCTGTCTTCCCACAGCCCTTCCTGTCTCTACTGTAAAAACTTCCTTAAATCTCCTGTTCAGCTCCTCACATACCTCCTGATCATTTCTTGTGAGTTCTCCACCTTCTGTCCTTAATCTGATCACCTGGTCTTTGACTGTTGTCTTCCTCCTGATGTGGCTATACAACAGTTTCGGGTCAGTCTTGATTCTCGATGCTATGTCATTTTCATACTGTCGCTGGGCCTCCCTCCTTACCTGTGCGTACTCATTCCTGGCTCTGCGACTGATCTCCCTATTTTCGTGTGTTCTCTGCCTTCTGTACTTTTTCCATTCTCTATTGCACTTTGTTTTTGCCTCCTTACACCGTCGGGTAAACTGTGTGGGCGAAACGTTGTTAATAAAGGATCACATTATACTGCATATGTGTTTATATTTCCAACAAGGAGACACAAGTGTCTCTTTGTTGGAAATATTTCTTATCAATCATTTCACTTTGCTAGTCTAAAATTCCGAGCATCTACTATATTGTTTTACTAGTCAAGAAGTTCGAAATCTTATTCTATTTCATCATTTTATATTTTAATTTTTATTTTCTGTGTTTGTTGTTACTGCCCGAAATACCCTGTATAATGTTTGTCAGGAAACAGGACAAGTGGGGCGCTGACCCCCAGAACTCTCTCCAGGTAAACTAAGACCCGTATCAGGAAACACTTGTCCTGTTTCCTGGCAAACCTTACCTAACCTAACCTAATATATAACGATTTTCCATTGTTTTATCTGTTTCAGTACCGACATTTGCGCAAGATTGTTGGAACTTCTCCAATCTGTACCTTCCTTGACCTAGCCTGGGGAGATGAAGGTCAAGGTCAAGTGTGTATGCAAGTAGATGTGACCATTGGGCGAGGTCAACAGTTCCTGATGCTGTGTACTGGAGAGAGAGGGTCATCGTACACTAACACTAACCTTCTTAGCGTAGCTAACAAGGGTCAACCAGGGGAATTTATCATAGGAGGTGACTATGAAACTAACAATGGTTCTGGGGGGGCAGCCCTGCTGTCAGGGCTTATAGCTGTTGGGGGAAAGTCAAGACAGCTAACAGCAGGGCTGGTGTCTGGCCACAGCCACTCAGACAAGAGCAGTCAGTTCCTGATCTATACCAGAGATCTTCCTGACAGCTATGATTATTTAAGTTTTGGTCAAGTGAAGACGGGATTGGATGTGCTGTTGTCTGTAGCTCAGTTAAGTGACCCACGTAATGTTATAGTGAAGGATTGTGGAGTAATTGTTACATTGTAATAAGTGATATAGTGAAAGATTGTGGAATGCTTACATAATATGTGATGTTATAGTGAAGGGTAATGAAGTATTTTATTGTAATAAGTGATGTTATAATGAAATGATAGTGAAGTAGTTGTTTTAGATTGTTAATTAGGTCTAGTGTCAAGACGAGGGTTATTAAGGCTGCATGTAACCTGTACACAACCAGTCTAGAACACTTTCTGTACACAACCAGTCTAGAACACTTTCTGTACACAACCAGTCTAGAACACTTTCTGTACACAACCAGTCTAGAACACTTTCTGTACACAACCAGTCTAGAACACTTTCTGTACACAACCAGTCTAAAACACTTTCTGTACACAACCAGTCTAGAACACTTTCTGTACATAACCCGTCTAGAACACTTTCCTGTACAAAACCAGTCTAGAAAACTTTTTGTACACAACCAGTCTAGAACACTTTCTGTACACAAACCAGTCTGAACACTTTCTGTACACAACCAGTCTAGAACTTTTGTACACAAACCCGTCTAGAATACTTTCTGAACAACCAGTCTAGATTTCTTTCTGTAACAAACCCGTCTAGAAAAACTTTCTGTACACACCAGTCTAGAACACTTTCTGTACACAACCAGTCTAGAACCTTTCTGTACACAACCAGTCTAGAACACTTTCTGTACACAAACCAGTCTAGAACACTTTCTGTACACAACCAGTTAGAACACTTTCTGTACCAACAGTCTAGAAAAACTTTCTGTACACAACCCGTCTAGAACACTTTCTGTACACAACCAGTTAGAACACTTTCTGTACACAACCAGTCTAGAACACTTTTGGACACAACCAGTCTAGAACAAATTTCTGTACACAACCAGTCTAGAACACTTTCTGTACACAACACAGTCTGAACACTTTTGTACACAACCAGTCTAGAACACTTTCTGTACACACCCGTCTAGAACACCTTTTGTACACAACCAGTTTTAGAACACTTTCTGTACACAACCAGTCTAGAACACTTTCTGTACACAACAGTCTTAGAACACTTTCTGTACACAAACCAGTCTAGAACACTTTTGTACACAACCCGTCTAGAACACTTTCTGTACACAACCAGTCTAGAACACTTTCTGTACACAACCAGTCTAGAACACTTTCTGTACACAACCAGTCTAGAACACTTTCTGTACACAACCAGTCTAGAACACTTTCTGTACACAACCAGTCTAGAACACTTTCTGTACACAACCAGTCTAGAACACTTTCTGTACACAACCAGTCTAGAAAAACTTTCTGTACACAACCAGTCTAGAAACACTTTCTGTACAACCAGTCTAGAACACTTTCTGTACACAACCAGTCAGAAACACTTTCTGTACAAACCAGTCTGAACACTTTCTGTACACAACCAGTCTAGAACACTTTCTGTACACAACCAGTCTAGAACACTTTCTGTACACAACCAGTCTAGAACACTTTCTGTACACAACCCGTCTAGAACACTTTCTGTAACAACCCGTCTAGAACACTTTCGTAACAAAACCGTCAGAAACTTTCTTACACAACAGTCTAGAACATTTTTTTACACAACCCGTCTAAACACTTTCTGTACAAACCCGTCTAGAACATTTTGTCACAACCAGCTAGAAAATTTTGTACAAACCCCGTCTAGAAACTTTTGTACACAACGTCTAGAACACTTTCTTACACAACCAGTCAGAACTTTTTTAAAAAACCCGTCAAACCTTTTTACAAACCATCTAGAAACTTTCTTCCAAAACCCGCAGAAAAACTTTTTTACCAACCATCTAGAACATTTCTGACACAACCCTCTAGAACACTTTCTGTACACAACCCGTTAGAAACTTTCTTACCAACCACTAGAAATTTTTACACCCAGTTAGAACACTTTTGTACCAACCAGTCTAGAAAACTTTCTGACAAACCAGTCTAGAACATTTCTTACAAACAGTCTGACACTTTCTGTACAAACCGTCTAGAACACTTTCTTAACAACCAGTTAGAAACTTTTGTACACAAACCCGCTAGAACCTTTTGTACACCCATTAGAACATTTTTTGTACAAAAAAGTCTAGAAAAAATTCCCGTACACAAACCCGCAGAACCTTTCTGTACACAACCAGTCTAGAACACTTTCTGTCACAAACCCGCTAGAAACTTTCTGTCACAAAAACCCGTCTAAAATTTCTGTAACAACCAGTCTAGAACACTTTCTGTACCAAAAAGTCTGAACACTTTCTGTACCAAACCAGTCAAAAACACTTTTGTACAAACCAGCTAGAACCTTTCTGTACCAACCAGTCAAAACTTTCTGTACAAAACCAGTTAGAAACTTTCTGTAACAACAGCTAAACACTTTTTTGTAACAACCAGTCAGAAACCTTTCTGTACAAACCGTCAGAACACTTTCTGTACACACCAGTCTAGAACACTTTCTGTACCAACCATTAAAAACTTTTTTCACAACCATCTAGAAACTTTTTTAACAACCGTCTAAACTTTTTTAAAACCCGCTAGAAAAAACCCTTTTTGTACACAAACCCGTCTAAACCTTTTTACACAACAGTCAGAACACTTTCTGTCACAACCAGCGAAAACTTTTTACACAACCATCTAGAAACTTTCTTAAAAAAATTAAACTAGAACACTTTTTTAAAATTTTAAAAAAACACTTTCTTACCCCAGTCAGAAAACACTTTTTTTTAACAACCTCTGCCCCTTTTTACACAAACCCTCAGAAACCTTTTAACAAATTAGAAAAACTTTTTACAAAATCAAAACTTTCTACCCAAAAAATTAAACCCCTTTTTCCACAAATTTTCCTTTTTGTACAAACCAGGGGCCTAGAAAACCACTTTCTCCTTCCCAACGGGCCGAAAAAATTTTTTACACAAAAAATTTTCAGAAATTTTAAACATTTAAAAAATATAAATTTTTTTTTTTTTAAAAAATTTTAAAAAAAAAACCCTCAAGTTTTTTAACCCCACAATAAAGGTTTTAGGGAAATTTTAAGAAAAGGGCCCTTTTTTTGGGGGGCCCTTATCGTAAATTTAAAAATTTGTTTTTGGTCAACTGGATGATTTTGGCCCTTAAACCGGGCCACAAAAAATTTTTTTTATTTTAAAAAAAAAAAATTTTTTTTAAGAACCCAACTTTTTAAAAAATTTAAAATTATACTTATTTTTTTTCCCCAATCAAAAAACAAACAATTTTTGAAAGAAAAAATTTAAAAAACAGTTATTTCTTAAAATCTATTTTAAAAACAAAAGTTTTTAAAAGCTAAGAATTTTATTAAATTTTTAATTTTAAAACCGGGGGGACAAAATTGGTACTTTATTAAAATCCCTTTTTTTTTTAAAAAAGAAAATTTAACATGTATTGAAAAAATTTTTAAATTTACTTACTTGAAAAAATTTTTTTTTATTTTGAAAAATAAAATCAAATAACGTCAAGATTTCTTTAAATCCCCCCTTTTTTTCAATAAATGGTTGGTTAATGGGGTTTTAAAGTCTATAGACTTCACGAGGGTCATTAAGGCCCTCCAGTCAAGAATACTTTAAACACCTACAATATGTATACACTAAGACATACACCTCTCAGTGTGTATATCTATGTATACTTAATCGAAAAAAAATCGCCTGACTTTTCAACAAAATTCAACTCATTTTACCATGATATCTCAAGAATCTATATAAATGTCTTTAATCATTGTCTATCTACACAAGAGCAACAAATGATTTGCAAATATTTCCGATATTCAATAAAATATTATGCTATCTTACATCACTTTTTTTTTACCTAATTTACCCATTAAAAAATTCGAACACCAATATAATAGTTATCCCAGAAATAATAAAGCACAACAGTAATTATAGCTTAAGATCTATTATTAAAAACTTAGTTATGATAGACATTTTTAATGTCTATAGAATTTATATAATTATATATTATAATAAACTCAGAAAAGACAAAATGTGACTTAATTAATTTCCATTTTATATATACATAAATATATGTAAGTATATATATACATGAATATATATAAATATATATAGGTAGTTCTACTGAAATATATATTTAAATTTTTTTTTTAGGGGGGGGGCTTTAAAAAATAAAATCCATGTTAACAGATGTTCAGTGACTCAATGGAATGATTTAATTTTCTACTGAGTTCAGAAATATTTGCAAATCACTGAACACCACCAGAGCTGCAAGAAAGAATATATATAAGAGTACTGAGCAGCCAGGATTATCAAATAACCCGGGAAAATAAACACTAGAGGTCCCTGGAACATAAATCACATAATTAACCCGTAAACGGTCCAAGCAGATCTACGTTCACATGTGTAGCGCTACAAAAGTAGATCAAAGTTTTTTTACACATTTTCAAATGTAGAAAAACAAAAAGAAGATCTACTTTTTTATACATACTTTCAAATGTTGAAAAAACGTATACAGTGGACCTCCGGTTAACGATATTTTTTCACTCCATAAGTATGTTCAAGTGCCAGTACTGACCGAATTTATTCCCATAAGGAATATTGTGAAGTAGATTAGTCCATTTCAGACCCCCAAACATACACATACAAACACACTTACATAAATACACTTACATAATTGGTCGCATTCGGAGGTAATCGTTATGCGGGGGTCCACTGTATATACGTTTGGACCGTTTACGGGTTAAAAAAGCCAGACACACATTGCGTTTTCATGACTCTGAAATCCTGCTATAGTCTTCCTTGCAGCTGACATATTATAACTATAATAAAATTGGTCCGCTCAAAGAAAATAAAAAAAAATTATTGTGACTGGCAAAGAGACTTAGAATGGTCTCTATAAGAGACCATCCTCTTAAATTGGTCTCTATGAAAGATCATCCACTTGGAATGGTTTCTAAGAGAGATCATCCACTTAGATTGGTCTCTGAAAGACCATCCACTTGGAATGGTCTCTATAAGAGACCATCCACTTAGACTGGTCTCTGTGAAAGACCATCCACTTAGAATGGTCTCTATAGAGACCACCCACTTATAATGGTCTCTATGACCATTCACTTAGAATGGGCTCTTTAACAGATCATTCATTTAGAATGGTCTCTATGAGAGACCATCCGCTTAGCATGGTCTCTATGAGAGATCATCCACTTAGAATGGTCTCTATGAGAGATCATCCACTTAGAATGGTCTCTATGAGAGATCATCCACTTAGAATGGTCTCTATATGAGACCATCCACTTAGAATAATCTGTATAGAAGACCATCCACTTAGAATGGTCTCTATATGAGACCAACCACTTTCTATATCAATTAAACTAGACAGAGATAGCCTGAGTTTCCGATTACAATAATAAGGTTGTTTGATATTGAATCAACAACCAGAGATCAACTTATTTATAAGAAAGTCAATATCATGTATGTAATAAACTTAATTTTCAATATATTTACTGCACACATAATAAGTCTCGCATTTGCTTGATTATGTAAATTGTTCTCCCATTTATAACACTAGTCAACAGAATTATGAATATTTTTTTTCTTATTTCCCAATATTTTAACCTAGAAGAGTGAAATGGTAGTTTCTGTCATCATTATTCACTATCTGTTCAACCTTCACTCATATCCACATTATTCAGATTTAATCCGCTTACTTGGTAATCCACATATTATCAGTTGTGGTCAAAAAAGTGATATGCATATAAGTAAATGCAATGCAGTAGCACCTATTATTTCTATGGACTTTTTTTTTTTGAGGGTTTGATTGTGCACTCAGCCATAGTTCTGTGGCTGGACAGATGACCAATGGACACTTGGTCGACAGACATTTGGCCGAAGGACAATTGGTCCAATAGACATTGCACCGACAGTTATTTGGCCGAACGAGCAATAGACCGAATGGATAATTAGGTTTGGTTAGGTTAAGATGAATGTCAGTTCGGCTATATGTCCGTTCAGTCAAATGTCCTTTGGTGAAATGTCCATCGGCCAAATGTCCAGGAGCCTATAGTTCACATCCACAAATTATATATTTTATAATCACCAACTGCAAAAAAGTCACGTTTTATATATACGTCGTTTGGAAAATAAGTTATTTTAATATTTGTCAATATAAATTATCCAAGTGTGGCCATAAATGTTTTCTGGTGGCTTTGAAAATTTGTAAACAATAAAAAATATATATATTTTTTTATCATATCACATTCAGTTTTACATATAAATTCACACCCTTGATGTTGATAATATTATTATAGTTATCCCAACGCTCTTAAACAATCATGTTTGATTTCAACAATATAACTAAAATTACTACAATTTTATGAAGTAATTTTTTTTGACACGTTACAAATATTTGAATACGTTTATTTTATTATATTTAGAAAGGTGAATTATTAATTTCTAGGCTGTTTGTTTAATTGTTAGCATATATGAACTACTAAATTTTTTTTCGGCCTCCATATAAATATTTAATCAACAATCCCAGAAATATTGAATTCACTAGTATTTTTTAAACTATTACTCAAATTTTTAATAAGCCAATTACTTATCTTTCACCAGAACTATCACAGCAATCTAACCTAACCTTGCTAAAATTTACATAATGCAAACTAACAGTAGCTACTTAAATTATCTAAAAATTTGTAGTTACATTTTTGTTCTCTAAGGGCAGGGTAATGACCGAATTTTCAGTGGGGTGATTTATGAATGGTTTTAAGCTTTCAAGTACATGGTTGTTTCCTGACAAAGCTTACCTGACCTTTCAAGTCCAATGAAGGCAGCTTAAGCAGGTCACATTTTCCAGGTCTTATGCCTTGATAGTGAAACACAAGGTATTATTTTTTTAAGCAGACTGAATGTGAATATATAATTCTTATTACGAATTACACGTGGAGACAGACATAACGTGCAAAACAAGATATTGTCGCGACAGTATTTTGCTGAACGATTTGATAAAGCAAAATATGCTTCACTAGAACCTGAATCTTGACCTGCAATTACTGCCCTTGTCTCAAAATTTATCAACAATACGTTGGTTTGCGTGCAGCCAGCAGTAACAGCCTGGTTGATCAGGCTCTGATCCACCAGGCGGCCTGGTCACAGACCGGGCCGTGGGGGGCGTTGACCCCCGGAACTCTCTCCAGGTAAACTCCAGGTATCAACTGATTCACAGTAGCTATGATGAAGGCTTCACTCACTGACAGTCACCCACACTATACAAATGCAAATTCATAACAGTGATAACTACTCACTCAAAAAACACAGTGTGAACTTTTTTTCAAAGTGATGACAACTCATTTTCACATATGATTTGACAGCAACTTACAAATAACATGATGAAAATTCTCTTAATGGAGACTGCTCATAAGTATTCAACAATAGTGTGACACCAGTTTTATGGGCCACCATGGCAAAAATGTGGTGGTGGTGTTTTGTTTGTCAGGAAACCAGAAAATGTCTCCTGACAGGAGTCTTCATTACATGAGGACCTAATCTGTGGTGAAGCAAACGTGTACTGGAAGTAGGATTTCAACCTTATTTAAAAAATAAGAATCACCACAAACTGTCCTATGATCATCCGACTATTCTAAGATTGTGTAGCTGACAAATTAACCATTTCCACTGAAGACTTGGTAAGGAATCGTGATAGCGGTAGAAGTCAATTCTCAAAGAAAGCTACATATACAGCAGTGATGAACGCTCAATCTCACTGAAGATTTGCTATGGACTTGAAACAGTGATTGAGTCGTCACTGGAGAAGTGACTGGACGCAGTGATTGATTTCCACTTCCTCTAGAGACTTGCTGTATATGGACTTGTGGTAGTGACGGATGTCCACCATCACAAAACTGGGTATGGACGTCATACTGTGATGAATGTCCACCTGGATGGCCACTCACTCTCACCGAAGACTTGAAGTGGACTTGAGATATAGCTAACTGTTGCTTCCTATGTTGAGTGTTGACAGTTTGGGTATCATAAATGACTTCCCAGTCTGAAATACCCCCAAAAGGTGTTAATATTATTTTATGCCATTTTTTAAAAGCATTCTTGGCATTTCATATATATATATATATATATATATATATATATATATATATATATATATATATATATATATATATATATGTATAATAAATATATATACGTGCATACATATTGTATATATATATATAATATATATATATATATATATATATATATATATATATATATATATATATATAATATAATGTACATATATATATATATATATATATATATATATATATATATATATATATATATATATATATATATATTATGTACATATAAATATATATATATATATATATATATATATATATATATATATATATATATGTACATATATATATATATATATATACAATATATATGCACGTATATATATTTATTATACTTTCGAAAAGAAATTCAAAATTTCGGGTTTTGTTTTTTGATAGCTTGACTGTATTTCATTTTTATTATAAATAAAATAGAATATACTCAAAAAATCATGGTTGTTTGGTTAACATAAAATAACTATTACTTTTGTGCTGGTTATATAATGTTTCTGTTTAGTTCTGAAAATTTAGTATCATCTCAAAATTGTTTGTATAGACATTTTTAATATAAATCTATTGTAAACTGCTTTGATTGAATTATCATAGTTGCATTACTCAACATAAATTTATATACAACCTCTCCTCACTTAGCGACGTACTCGTTTACCGACGACTCATACAACAGGCTCTCTGACCAGTATTCATACCTCAGAAATCTATATTAGAGCTGATTTCCTCTATTCTGTTTATTACAATATACAGTACAATACTGTACAAACATTTAAAATATACCAGAAATGCTATAAATGTAGCAAAGGTGACATTAAAACAATATCAAAGATGGTACACAAACCCACTACCATCATTGTATGCTCCTCACTTACCGACGAATTCGTTTACCGATGAGGTCTTAGAATTGGAATTCCATTGTTAAGTGAGGAGAGGCTGTGTATAATATATATATATATATATATATATATATATATATATATATATATATATATATATATATAATATATATATATATATATATATATATATAATATATATATAATATATATATATATGCAATAAGATCACAGTAAACAGGTGATTTCAGAATATGCAAAACAACCACTCTGAAAGAATAGAGAAATTCCAAGCGCTTTCGTGACTACTCACGAAAGCGCTTGGAATTTCTCTATTCTTTCAGAGTGGTTGTTTTGCATATATATATATATATATATATATATATATATATATATATATATATATATATATATATATATATATATATATATGCATGAAAATTCTCCCCACCTCACAGAAAAAGACAATTAATGGAAAAAACACAAATAGTACATAATGTTCAAAAAATTTTGCTAGTTCATATCATGTTTATTACAGGAAAACACAGATAGGTTAGTGTATTATTTCAAATATAGAAAAAATACACATTAACATATCAAAACTTATCTTAAAATCCTGAGAAATGGGGTCATTTTCAGGCTATCTAATTCATTTTAAATTGCAAATAAAAATACTGGGTAATAACATGCCATAGCTTGTAGCACCAACCCCCATTAATGGTTTTTACAAACATTAATGTCTCACCAGGTTGGGGGTTGTTAGGTAGCATGCAGATTACTGCTCCACTTTCTACTAGGAGGGTTGGGGTGCATCCTTTCCTTTGCTGAAGTGTACTATAGATCTGATCCCCCTCACTGAAGTCTAGGGAAGTAATGATAAGGACTTTGGTAAGCAGTCAAAATTTACCTAGCAATTATTATTTTGGAAATTTGTCTGACAGTTTTATGATAATTTAGGATTTTTCGTAAGTAGTCAAAATTTGCCTAGCAATTATTTTTGAAATTTGTTTGACTCTTCTAATAATTTAAGATTTTTGGTAAGCATCAAAAATTTACCTAGCAATTATTATTTTGGAAATTTGTCTGACAGTTTTGTGATAATTTAGGATTTTTCGTAAGTAGTCAAAATTTGCCTAGCAATTATTTTTGAAATTTGTTTGACTTCTAATAATTTAAGATTTTTGGTAAGCATCAAAAATTTACCTAGCAATTATTATTTTGGAAATTAGTTTGATAGTCTTCTGATAATTTAGGATCTTTGGAAAGCATAAAAACTTCCCCTATTAATTTTTAATAAGGACTGACAGCCTTCTAATAATTTTGAATATAATTGTGGAATTATCAATAATATATATGTGATTAAAGAATGATTCTGTCTTATTGTTTCCCAAATTTATTAACACTGAAATAAGGCCATTTACCTTATCAATAAATTTATTTTTCAATTATTCTACTGGTTAATGGAATTATATGTACATAGCAACAGATAATTTATATAGTGCAACTACATTGTACTTTCACTATATATATATATGTATATATATATATATATATATATATATATATATATATATATATATATATATATATATATATATATATATATATATATATATATATATATATATATATATATTTGTTAATATATAAATTATCTGTATACTGTATCTCAAATTTGGCATGGGAATTATCCTAAATTCTAGCAGTATTGACTCTCATTTATATGGAATTATGCTGCAAGGGAATATTACTCTTGATTAACATATAGAAATAATCTCAAAGTAATGGACGTTGAGTTTATACTCAAAAAATTTAACCAAAATCTTTTCAGAGAATCCCCCCCAGAATTGGCACTTTTCATAAAAACGAGACACAGCCATATGCTGCCAGTCTCATATATTTTGGGAGGGGGGGGGAATATATGGATGCTGATGTTACAACCTAATAAGCCTACATTAATGGCTGTGTTAAGCAATGCTATGTGCAATGACAGTCAATTGTTACTGTACTAATATATGCTACAACACACAAACAATTACTGTGATACTAAAAAGCTCTTTAAGTGCAGAAATGTCAATACAGTGGCTTGTTTTTGTGTTTCTTAGGTTATAGGAGATGGTAGGCTATGTGAAGGTTATAGATGGTAGGCTATGTGAAGGTTATAGATGGTAGGCTATGTGAAGGTTATAGATGGTAGGCTATGTGAAGGTTATAGATGGTAGGCTATGTGAAGGTTATAGATGGTAGGCTATGTGAAGGTTATAGATGGTAGGCTATGTGAAGGTTATAGATGGTAGGCTATGTGAAGGTTATAGATGGTAGGCTATGTGAAGGTTATAGACGGTAGGCTATGTGAAGGTTATAGATGGTAGGCTATGTGAAGGTTGTAGATGGTAGGCTATGTGAAGGTTATAGATGGTAGGCTATGTGAAGGTTATAGATGGTAGGCTATGTGAAGGTTATAGATGGTAGGCTATGTGAAGGTTATAGATGGTAGGCTATGTGAAGGTTATAGATGGTAGGCTATGTGAAGGTTATAGATGGTAGGCTATGTGAAGGTTATAGATGGTAGGCTATGTGAAGGTTATAGATGGTAGGCTATGTGAAGGTTATAGATGGTAGGCTATGTGAAGGTTATAGATGGTAGGCTATTGTGAAGGTTATAGATGGTAGGCTATGTGAAGGTTATAGATGGTAGGCTATGTGAAGGTTATAGATGGTAGGCTATGTGAAGGTTGTAGATGGTAGGCTATGTGAAGGTTATAGATGGTAGGCTATGTGAAGGTTATAGATGGCAGGCTATGAGAAGGTTATAGATGATAGGCTATGTGAAGGTTATAGATGGCAGGCTATGTGAAGGTTATAGATGGCAGGCTATGAGAAGGTTATAGATGGCAGGCTATGAGAAGGTTATAGATGATAGGCTATGTGAAGGTTATAAGAGATGGTAGACTATAAGATGGTTATAACAGATGGTAGACTATAAGATGGTTATAACAGATGGTAGACTATAAGATGGTTATAACAGATGGTAGTCTATAAGATTTGGTTATAACAGATGGTAGTCTATAAGATGGTTATAACAGATGGTAGTCTATAAGATGGTTATAACAGATGGTAGTCTATAAAGATGGTTATAACAGATGGTAGTCTATAAGATGGTTATAAACAGTTGGTGTCTATAAGATGGTTATAACAGATGGTAGTCTATAAGATGGTTATAACAGATGGTAGTCTATAAGATGGTTATAACAGATGGTAGTCTATAAGATGGTTATAACAGATGGTAGTCTATAAGATGGTTATACAGTTGGTAGTCTATAAGATGGTTTATAACAGATGGTAGTCTATAAGATGGTTATAACAGATGGTATGTCTATAAGATGGTTATAACAGATGGTAGTCTATAAGATTGGTTATAACAGTTGGTAGTCTATAAGATGGTTATAACAGATGGTAGTCTATAAGATGGTTATAACAGATGGTAGTCTATAAGATGGTTATAACAGATGGTAGTCTATAAGATGGTTATAACAGTTGGTAGTCTATAAGATGGTTATAACAGATGGTAGTCTATAAGATGGTTATAACAGTTGGTAGTCTATAAGATGGTTATAACAGATGGTAGTCTATAAGAAGGTTATAACAGATGGTAGTCTATAAGATGGTTATAACAGATGGTAGTCTATAAGAAGGTTATAACAGATGGTAGTCTATAAGAAGGTTATAACAGATGGTAGTCTATAAGATGGTTATAACAGATGGCTATAACAGATGGTAGTCTATAAGATGGTTATAACAGATGGCTATAACAGATGGTAGTCTATAAGATGGTTATAACAGATGGTAGTCTATAAGATGGTTATAACAGATGGCTATAACAGATGGTAGTCTATAAGATGGCTATAACAGATGGTAGTCTATAAGATGGTTATAACAGATGGTAGTCTACAAGAGAAAGACAAAAGAGGTCATGGGTAGACAGGAAGAGAGATAATAAGAAAAGTTGCGTGTAGACAAGAAGACATTTAAATAACGTTATGAGTAAACAGAGAGAGAGAGATATAAGAAAGGTTAAGCAACCTAACCAATCTGTGTTGGTTGAAGGGGAGCTTTTTGTCAAATAATGGCAAATTTTAGATTAGATTGAAAAATTTATTAAGTACAGATCTTTCAAGTACCACTGAAATATTATCAAAGCAAAAATTTACAAGAATATTTGAGATCCATATTAATTTTGAGTGTGTGTGAAAAGACTCACACATGATAAGGCACTTCTGCACATTGAATATTAAAATACAGTGGACCCCCGCATAACGATCACCTCCGAATGTGACCAATTATGTAAGTGTATTTATGTAAGTGCGTTTGTACGTGTATGTTTGGGGGTCTGAAATGGACTAATCTACTTCACAATATTCCTTATGGGAACAAATTCGGTCAGTACTGGCACCTGAACATACTTCTGGAGTGAAAAAATATCGTTAACCGGGGGTCCACTGTATATTGAAAAACAGATAAATTTTACAAAGAATGCTAGGTAATCATTTTAATACATGTTTTCAAAATTTTTGTCTTGTGATCTATTGGTTTTCTTTTTTCCATGTGTGCATAAAAAATATATGATAAAATGTCATAAATGGTTTATTAAATAGACAAGATGAAGAACGAGAGACTAGGGCAATATTTGGGAATCTTTATTGAGGAAACGTTTTGCCAGCCAGTGGCTTCCTCGGTCCAATACAAAGAACGGTGGAGAAAGAGGAATCTGAGGTAATCAGTCCCTCAGTCTGGAATCAATGTGTTCAGTACTGTCATCAAGACTGATGGGCTGTACAGTACTGTCATCAAGACTGATAGACTGAACAGTACTGTCATCAAGACTGAAAGACTGAACAGTACTGTCATCAAGACTG